AGCGAGATCACTCTTCACAGAATATAATTACATTTACGAAAAAACTACTTTTAATGTTTTGTTGCCATGTCAGACTCCTTTTAAGTCTGTATTTTGTAGTACCTAAACAATGTCAGAATAAATCGTCAAAGAAAATGCCTTATTTATTTTACACTTGATATCAGTATCACACATTGTGTTGAAATCATTAAAAATAATCAAATGAGCAAATAAATGACATTCAAAAAAAAATCACAAATATTAAAATTTGTAATAAGTAAGTATGACCGCCGGGCCGGTCGACGCCCGCGCTCAGCTGATTGCGTTGCGTGTGCCTACTAAACCATTCATCACTGTACCTATTGCACCAGGGCGCCACTTTAAATGACTTTACATTAACTTTTCATATACTTCTTTATTTTGCATAGAACCATTTGATGAACTATTTGATTCTTTTGTTAATTTCTTTAAGAATTAATAGACATTTAGGTAGTTATTTTTACGAATACTGTTTGCTAGCAACGCTGCCTGCATCCAAGAGGCAACGTGGCACATGCGGTAGCCCAAGGCCAAGCCAAAGGTATATATTTTTTTAAAACGTTACCCCCACACTAGGATTTTCTCCTGGTTCGTGGAGGCAGTTGACAAACATAAATTGCACAAGGACAAACATCCAGATCCGGAACAATTATTTGTAGGCCATACAAATACTTGTTCCGTGCGGGATTCGAACCCGCGGCCCCCAGCGCAATAACTGATTGCTAAGCCACTGCGCCACGGAGCCGTCAATCGTCGACACCGGTGTCATCGTCATCAAAGGCGCCGCCTGCCCTTTTCGGTTTGCAGCCATCGATTTGGTGCTCGATGTTTGCAGCACGTGCAAAGTAAATGAGTATTATTAACTATTTTTTTATTTAATGTAAGTTGTATTTAAAAACTGGATAAAATTTCAAATATTACAATAAAATATTTCATCATCATCATCATTACAGCCTTTCATAAGTCCACTGCTGAACATAGGCCTCCACAAAGAAATGCCACAAAGCGCGGTCCCGAACCACCTGCATCCATCGACTTCCTGCGTGTCTTAGCAGGTCGTCACTCCATCTCGTGGGGAGTCGCCCTACACTTCGCCTACCGGTACGAGGCTGCAACTCAAGAACCTTTCTTCCCTATCGGTTGTCGGTTCTTCGAGCTATATGGCCGGCCCATTGCCACTTCAGCTAACTAATCCGTTGGGCTTCATCGGTTACTCTGGTTTTTCTGCGGATATACTCATTTCTAAGTTTATCACGCAGAGAAACCCCGAGCATAGTCCTCTACATAGCTCGCTGAGCGACCTTGAGCTTCCTCATACGGTCAGCAGTGAAGGACCACGTCTCAGATCCGTAAGTCATCACTGGCAACACGCACTGGTTGTACAATTTCGTTTTAAGGTTTTGAGGTATGTCTGACGAGAAGATGTGTCGTAGATTCCCGAACGCTGCCATGCCGAGTTGAATCCATCGATTAACCTCTCGGTCGAAGTTGGACTTACCTAGTTGGACTATTTGTCCCAGGTATACATACTCGTCGAGCTTAGTGCTCCCAACAACTACCGGCATAGGTGTGACATGGACATTAAAGATGATCTCTGTTTTGTCCATGTTCATCCTAAGACCTATTCGTTGGTAGACACTATTGAGGTCATTGAGCATGGTGCTTAGGTCCTCCAGCGATTCTGACATAAGGACTATATCGTCGGCAAATCGAAGGTGAGTGATGTACTCGCCATTGATGTTAATACCGTATCCTTTCCAGTCCAGAAGCTTGAAAACGTCTTCCAATGTAGCGGGGTGAAGAGTTTCGGGGATATAACATCACCCTGTCTTACACCTCTCTGCAATTGGATAGGTTTCGTACTCTGGTTCTGTACTCGGATAGCCATCGTAGCTCTACTGTACAAACACTTCAGCACTTCGATATTCCGACAGTCAACTTGGCACAGCTGAAGGGACTGCAGCACCGCCCAAATTTCGACGGAATCAAAGGCTTTCTCATAGTCCACATACGCCAGCCATAGTGGCAAATTGTACTCTTCGGACTTCTGTACAATTTGCCGAAGGGTATGTATGTGGTCCATGGTGTTAAAGCCCTTTCGGAAACCGGCTTGTTCGGGAGGCTGGAAGTCGTCAAGTCTGCGCGCGAGACGATTCGTAATGACTCTCGAAAACAGCACGTAGACGCGGCTCAGAAGGGAAATCGGTCCGTAGTTCTTCAAGAGAGCGTTGTCTCCTTTCTTGAAGAACAAGACCACCGCACTTCTGCTCCACGCCTCCGGTGTAATGCCACCATGGAGGACGGAATTAAAGAGCTTCTGAAGGACTTCAATTACCGGTCTTCCATCCGCTTTCAGAAGCTCCGCTGTAATTCCATCCTCGCCTGGGGCCCCGCCGTTTTTAAGGTGCTGGAGAGCCATTCTAATCTCGCTCAGACTGACGTCCGGGATATCTTCGGAATAGTGTCGGATAAGTCTCGCTATTGGATCGTTACTCACACTTGCGTGTGGCTCCAACGATGACGTGTACAGCTGCCCATAGAACCTCTCAATCTCACTCAAAATCTCAGGTGTCCCGGAAACGATGCTGCCACACTCGGTCTTCAGCTTTGACAGTTGGCGCTTTCTGGCAGACAGATCTCTGGCAAAGACTTTGAAGCCTTGGTTCCGCTCAATCGCTTCTTCAATACAAGATGTATTGAAGTTGCGTAAGTCCCGCCGCATGCATTTGGAGATCTGTCTGTTCAGTTGCCGATTCATTTTTAATAATGATTTCCTCTGAAAACCACCCAAAGTTCCCAGGGTTAGGTAGGTTAGCCTGCTTTTGGTTTGGTAAGGGTGATCTTTAGGGGTTTTAAGTGGGTTAGGGGGTTGGTGATTAGCTGCTTTAGCCTACATGTAGTATAAAATTTAATTATTTGAAGAAAAATACCGAGCTAGCTCGCTGTACCCGACGGCTCCGTGGCGCAGTGGCTTAGCAATGAGCTGTAGCGCTGGGGGCCGCGGGTTCGAATCCCGCACGGAACAAGTATTTGTATGGCCTACAAGTAATTGTTCCGGGTCTGGATGTTTGTTCTTGTGCAATTTATGTTTGTAAACTGCCTCCACGATACAGGAGAAAATACTAGTGTGGGGCTAACGTTTTTAAAAAAAAAAATGTAAATTAGCTTAGACGTATGATGTTTTTCTGGATTACTAAAAAAACTGATAAACTTCATAATTTCCGCACCTGTAGCTTTAAATATATGACATTTTAAAGAGATTAACAAAAAATTGTGACCCTACCTCATAAAATGACGCGTGGCTGGAATTGTTTCCATTATTTTCCACTGTGCGGCGCCCCGTCATGTTGGTAATACATATTGCGTAGAGATGCAAGTGGTATGTCCTCTAACAACTCTGGCAGCGTGTCGGTGAGAAAACTATGATAGCTTTCACCGTTTAATCTTTCTATGAAGACCGGGCCCAGTAACGTTGTATTAATAACGCCTGCCCACACATCGACACTAAACCGGTGTTGAAAGCTATACGGTCTTGGTTCATGTGGATTTTCATAGCACCACAAGTGTTCATTATGCGAATTAAATAGTCCTATTCTGCCAAATGTTGCTTCATCAGTTCATAAAATGTTAGCTCGTTAAGCAGCTAGTAACCAGTTACAAAATGTAACTCGCGCTGGTTTGTCAGCTTCGCTGAGTTAATGAACACAATGCAAGTGGAAATGGTACTTCCCTTCATTGTGTATGACACTTCATGCGTAGTACTGTGACACATTGAACTGTCGGGCTGCCTCATAAGTGCTCGCTGCTGGATTTTGTTCAAAAAACTGCAGTATGTCTTCCTGCTCACGTACTGTACGCCGCGGTGGACGACCACGATCGATTGATACAGGCTGGAATTGCCCGTAATCTCGCAATCGCTGTGTAGTACCTAGCATCATAGCGTAGCTCGGTGCACGTGAGTTGGGAAATCGCCTTGAATATTCACGGCAGGCTTCACTAACGTTATCATTGCAAATTGCTAAAATTCGTACCATTTCGGTATACTCAACATTTGAGTATGGGTAAGTCATCGTAACAACGCGTAACGTTCGCGATATTAATCTCACAACGGAAGGAAAAACTTAGCGGGCGCACCAAAGGCGACTGACGACACAGGTAATTACAATTAGGTCAAGTTCTAATGAGCAAGCGCCGCCTCCTACACCCCTCCACCCCTTCCCCGCCACGCCCTTTATTTTGCTATTTAGGACTATTGCCGTTTAGAAGGTCCAATTAAAATATTTTTATTTTTGTATGAAAATAAAAATTGAAGAAATATAATTTTTTTTCTTACAGATGTTATGATGTAAATAACATATTCCCAAAAGGTCTTCAGTAAATTAAAAATTACCCTGTATAGGGCTTCAGATAGTTTTCTACAACCTTCTACTGTAGCGACATCTAGAATGTTCGAGAACATATCGGTTCCGAAATTTCTAGAAGGATCTTGACTCTCCTAGTTCTGCTACTCGACACTAGAGGGCGCTAGTGGTGACTAGTGTTGCCATGTACAAGACATTAATAGTGGCGCGCAACAATAATAACGTTTATTTCTGCGTGTAATATTGTGCCTAAGGTAGGTATAGCGTGTATCCGAACGCGGGTAATATTGCGTGTCAATATTTTGGACTTCAAGTTGATATCTTTTTATTTTTGTTTTTTTTTTTTTTTATTTATATACTGACCATGTTTAGATTTATACATAGACTAACGCATGCGGAAGATTGATTCATTTAGACTGTTCAGGATGTCAGTAAAGCCTAAGTCTGACATGTATTTGCCGTTTCCGTTAATTACCACGTCCTTTCAAGTCTAGCATCTTAAAAAAATCTTTTTTCTTTAAAAGTTAAGGGGATATAACATCCCCATCACTGACTCTACAATGTGTGTAGTATTTATAAATATTAAAATTTATTAATAGCATGCATGCCTACTAATTCCAGGAAGTCCATTTATTCAGGCCATAGAGAAGATTGGACAATTAATCCGAAATAGCCCTGCAGAAATAAAAATTCGAGCTTTATACTGCTATGCAAGTTTAATAAGTGTTGAAAAAGATACTCCCAGTCAAGGCCCTGTAGATCATAGAGTCACACTAATGACGAGAGAATGGTTTCGAAGCTTAAATAAAGAAAGTGATGCAATGGAGACATTACTGGGAATATGTAAAATTCCATTTCCTGATATTAAATTAGCTGCATATAGTTTACTCGATGCAGTGTGCCAACATTTGTGGGGCGAAGAACTCGTCGCAAGAGTCGCAGGTAAGTTTTCTTTAAAAAATGTTATAGAATTTCCAGTGAATCTAAAAGGGCCTAAATTAGTCAATTAGTCAGAAATATGATACAAAATATATAATAGTAAACAGATTTTAAATTATTTAAATCGTTACATAAAAATACGAGTGCGATACTGAGTTTTTAGAACTGGCCGCTTGTAAACGATATAATAAAAAAATAAGTTAAAATTTTGAAAATGGAATTCTTTGCCAATATTATTGTGTATGTATTTTATTAATTTGTTATTTGTTTACGATTTGGCGGCAAATTGAAAATTGTCTGTGTCACGTCAGCATGAATTTAACGCGAGAAAATTTTCGTACGATTTTTTATGACTTTCGATGTCATTTAAGTCAACAAGAGAGTTATGATAGACTTCGATTGACCTTTCACGATGAAGCCCCATCTCGTGCCGCTGTTTACAACTGGTTTAATGAGTTTAAACGTGGTCGCACTAATCTCAGGCATCTCGTCTTAGGCATCGGTATGAGTCAAGTGCCCGAAATCCTCCATGAACATTTAGCGGTCAGGAAGCTTTGTGCCCGGTGGATACCTCATAATTTGACAGAGGCCCAAAAACTCCGTGGTGTTGGTTGGTGTCGTGAAATGGTTCAAAGATTTAACGGAGGTGACTCAATACTGTGTTCGGCATACTTACGGGTGACGAAAGTTGGATTTATTGTTATGATCCTGAAACTAAGCGACAGTCTGCTGTCTGGGTGTTTCCTTCCGAGGAGTTGCCAACTAAAGTGAAGAGAGGTCGAAGCGTCCGAAAAAAGATGGTGGCCTCGTTCTCTGGAAGGACAGGTCATTACGCAAAAATTGTTTTAGAGGATCGAAAAATAGTTACTGCAGAGTGGTACACTAACATTTGTTTGCCACTTGTCTTGGAAAAAGTTCGGGAGAAACGACCTCGCAGTAGGATCCTCCTTCACCACGACAATGCCTCGTCCGCACACTGCCAAGCAAACAATCGACTACTTGGTGACGTCAGACGTGGAATTACTGGGTCACCCGCCCTATAGCATCGAGCTTGCGATTTTTATTTATTTCCGAAAAAGATAAACTTCCAGGAAAACGTTTTATGGACGCCGAGGAAGCAGTGGCTGCGATTCAAAATGCCGTCGAAGAGACCCTAAAAACGAGTGGGAAAAGTGCTTTTCTCAGTGGTTCCATCGGATGCAACGATGTATTGATGTAAACGGACACTATTTTCAAAAGATATAATGAAACTTGTTAGTTTGTTCAGTTTTTGATTTTCTAACAACTTTCAGTGTCTCCCTCGTATTTAGCTGTTTATCTATTATTACAAGTTAAACAATATCACCTTATAATCTACGACGATGATAACACTATGTGAACCTGAAGATAATTTTAGAAAGAAATAGAAAATACAACAGAAAAAATATAACTTGATCCGTACTAACTAGGGAGAAAGTGTGTAGTGCTGCACTGCCTCGAACGTATGTCCGCTGCGTGCACAGTACTGTTAAGCTGATCTGTGAGCCAGTTTGCAGATCCGTATATTTATGAAGTTACTCATGTATTATTATAGCATAGCCGCATTAAGATGAATTTATTTGGTAAAAATGTAAAATTTTTGACTTACTTCGTCGTGGTTTAGATTTCCGATTGGCGTTTTATGATGTAATCTCATACCATTTCACTGTTCTCAATTGGCTTAATGAGTTACAGCATGGTTGCGCAATCTGAATTATAATATGCAAAAGGGGCATCCTTCAACAGCACCAATTGAACATAACATGAGTAGAGCAGCGCATGATAGCTTATAGAGGAATTATCAACAGTTTCAGACATGGTTGTCGAATAAGAAAAAAACATGAACATAGAGCCGAACTATATATCCCTTAGTGTAGAAAAATAGAGAATGAAGTTTTAACGTAACTACATATTTAGACAATATTCTAATTGTTACATTGAACTGGTCATAATCTTTAGTCTATTTAAAAGGGTTACAAATTTGATTAAACTTTAAATAAAAAGCCGACTTCAAAGAATTAAAAAGAATAATATAATTTCCATGCCATAGCTTCTGAAGTCTATATTGCAAATTTAAAAAAAAATGAAATCCTACAGAACTTTGGGTTGTAATCACTTAAGGAAATATTGTTTACCTGTAGTTAGTAAATTAAGGTTTTCAAATATTCAATTTAAAATTGATTTCAGGTTTTGTCGAGTTTCTTCTAGATCGGTCCATTAATGAACCAAAAGAAGCCAAAGAAGCTAAATATGATATAATAAAAAGATTATCACAATCCTCGGTGTTTGATGATAACATTCTCACAAGATTTAAAACATATGTAAAAGAAGGTCCATTTTATTCAGATACGACATTGCAAGTGGCTATGGAAGAAGGAAACTGATGACATATTGAATAAGAACTTTATTGTCAGCAAATTTTATTCATTCATTATAATAAATAAGTTTGTGAAAATTAATTTTGTTACTTAAAAACAGTAAATTTCTTTAAAAATACTATCTTACTTCCTTTTTTTATTTTTTGATGCTGTTTCAGACTTCTGTGCTGCTTTACGTTTAGTACCCTTAGATTTATTGCCCCCATATTTAGCCGCTAAATCATCAATAAGTGAATCCATTTGATCTGCTCTTGCTTGCTGCCTTTGTTTAATCATTAGTTCCAAGCTATTTTTTCCTTAAAGTAAAATGTTATTTAGCAGAATTAATAAATATTTCTGAAATATTGGTATTTTAAACAATGTTTATTCAGGTCCTACCTGATCCTAGTCCTAATTCGAATTTTAGTTCCTCAGCTTCCTTTGCTTCACGGTTTTCTTTTGCAATTCTCTTCTGTCGTTTTTTGGCTGGCTCGTGTGTGAATATTTTATATGCGGGAATTTCTCCTTTTTCTATCATTTCCTATAATTATTAGTTCCTATAATTATTATCGAATTATTAAATTAAATTATTATTAATTAACCGTATGAGGAAGCTCAAGGTCGCTCAGCGAGCTATGGAGAGGGCTATGCTCGGAGTTACTCTGCGTGATAAACTTAGGAATGAGGATATCCGCAGTAGGACCAGAGTAACCGACATAGCCCAACGGATTGGTGAGCTGAAGTGGCAGTGGGCCGGCCATATAGCTCGAAGAACCGACAACCGATGGGGAAGAAAGGTTCTCGTGTGGCAGCCTCGTACCGGTAGGCGAAGTGTAGGGCGTCCCCCCACGAGATGGAGTGACGACCTGGTAAGACATGCAGGAAGTCGATGGATGCAGGTGGCTCAGGACCGTGCTTTGTGGCATTTTTTGGGGGAGGCCTATGTTCAGCAGTGGACTTGTGAAGGGCTGTAATGATGATGATGATGATGATGATGATGATGATAATAATTATTATCATTTTCTTTACATGGTAGAGCCATGCTGCAACTATATTAGTAGTATAGTTGTAGCACGAATGGGTCGACTCGACCGGGGAAGGACCACGCTCTCACAGAATACCAGCGTAAAATAGCAGCTTAACGCTGCTGTGTTTCTTATGGTGAGTGTAGAGGACCGGAGACCCTTTTTACTAGAAATGAGGCAATCCATCTTAGTCCTCACGGGTGAGAACGCATCTGCATTTTGTTTGATGTAGATGTCTATGGGCCGCAGCTGCCACTTACCATCAGGTGGACTGTGTGCTTGTTTGTCACCCTTATCATATAAAAAAAATTAAGGTGATTTTCGAGAAAATAATATTTTTTATAGTTTGTTTACCAGAAATTATGCTTAGAAAAGATTAGCTGCATACCATCAGTATTTTGGTACATTTCATATGAGATTTCTCTCCCTCTTAAAAATATGGAGATAGATGGTTAACACTTAGGGAGTCACGTCCTAATTTGTAGCACAAGTACTCGCTACCGGGTCCACTAGACCCAGTATAATTTCATAAGCTTATTCTAAAACTGTAAATGTTTACTTTCTAATAAGGATTAGATATGTGTAAAGAAATATATTATTGAATCAAAGATTAATATTTACTGTTTTTACTTATACCAAAAGCTGTTACAAAAATATACTAAATTTGTACATTGTTTTGTGACAAGTTTTAAACTTATTGTTTTAATTCTATAATTACTTATTGCACAAACCGAAACTTCTGTGCTTTCTTACACAATAGTGTACTTACTTATACGAAATAAATAGGGATCAATCAGCATAGAAAAATAAAAAAAACCCACAAAAATACGATATCTTCTTTGTCATTTGCTGTGCTAAACCAATGTTGTCATTTGCTGTGCTAAACCAATGTCATTTGCTGTGCTACACTATTGTTGTAAGGTATAAGAGCAGCAACGTTGCAAATGTCGAATTTTAATAGTTATTAAGAAATATGTTAAGGGCTGGGTCTGTTGGACTCATTAGTGACTCCTTAAGTGTTAAAAGCATGCAGCAATGTATCGAAGTTACTTCTTTGTGGCAGCAATACAGAATCCATCCCTTAATTTTGTCCTGTGTGTCGTAAGTGTGGAAAATGTCAGAAAGATCTTATGCTAGATTAGGGACAAGGCACATAATCGACAATCAATCTGCAGTGTGGTGGAAACTTCTTTAGGATGGAATGTACAGTAATTGTACTGTCAAGGCTTGCTAAAGAAGAAAAATAATATTAAATATGATGTGTTACATTTAGGTTAAGGACAGGGACAAATAAGGTCATTAAATATCTCAATTTGGGAAAGGTATATTCATATATGCAAAAGAGCACATTGCCATGACAAGGTGGTAAACCGTTCAGGGGCTTAATGGCAGTGTATTGGTCACCCACGATAAAACAGGAATCCATGTGACTAGTCCGAGGACGTTACGTAGTGAGCTTCGCGAGCTCGCTCAAGATGTGTGTTGCGTGGACTTCGAATGGAGGATTTTCCTCTGCCTGTCTCTCACCCTGCCTCTGCAGGTGTTGTGGAGTCGCAAGGAATGTTGCAGGTATAGGAATCGTCCTCTCTCGAGAAAGGGGCGGCTGGTGCTAGTGGTGTGGCCAAGGAAACATTCCCGTAGCCCTGTCTAAATGCGACGTTAGCGGAAAACCATGGGGTTTTAATTAGTGCGAGTCTGACAACTCATCCCTGACCGTACGAGGCTGAAAAAAGGGTATGTCTTCAAGTGGATCTAGTCTTAAAAAAATAAATCCATATAATGTATCATCACTGATAGAATGTACTTAACCTGTATTTATAAAATAATACTAATTAAGAAACATACGGTTAGAATTCCTCTGATTCTGGATTCATGTTCTGTTCGAGCAAACTGGACTTGATCAACTATATAATCCATGTCACCTTTTCCAGTCAAATATGCATGCTTTAGGTCTTTCCTTTCTTCCTGGGATCCTAATAAAAGTACACATTTTTAGTAAAAAAATATGAAAATTACAGGTCTTACAACTTTCTATTGCATTACTGGGCATATTGGAAATTAATATGCTGCAGCTCTACAGATGTGGTGGCAGCATAAGAGAATCCATCACCCCCATTTCTCATATCAAATGAGTTTTGTAAGATTTCAAATATGGAAAATGCCAGAAAGCATAGTCTGTAATAGATGGCAGTGCATCTATATTGTATAATATACCAGATGTAAATTACCTAGACTGGTGAAAAGGAGCTGCATCTATGGTAAAAGATCTGTAACACCAATCTGCCTGCCATTCACAGCGATTATGGCAAATCTTCTCTAAAATTGCAGACCCTTGTTCAGTGGTGGACTGTTCTGAGCTAAATAAGAATTAAGTTTATAGGTTGTATCTAGAATTTAATTTGTTAATTTCATTCTCTGACTCAAAGAGGTACTTAATAAAAATATTTTAAACGGCCATGTCATTACCATGATTTCACCATAAATACTACCACCACCAGGAATAGTGGGTCACCTATGTATTGGGGCCATTTCTTTTCGAAACCAGTGGTAAATAAATAATAATTTAAAATTTAATATTTAGTACAACCAACTTCAATATAAGTTATTAAGAATAACTAAAATAACTCAAAAACTATTGGTCTGACCTTGATCAAATTCATATGGGACCACACGAGAAGTATCAGCTTTCATATAAAAAAAGAATCATCGAAATCGGTCCACCCAGTAAAAAGTTATGAGGTAACACACATAAAAAAAACATATGTGTCGAATTGACTACTGTCTCCTTTTTGGAAGTCGGCAGAAAAATGACAATAAGTATTATGTAATCAATATTGAATAAAAACTAATTCTATTCTATTTTTCCATTAATCATGATAAGCTGCCATATTTCCATTTAATAGTTGCCACATTATACAGGCGGGTTTAATGGGCATAAACAACTAATGCATGTTGCCAGTGATGGCATATGGCAAACTAAGACTATGTCTTACTGTTTACGTGATCACAAGACATAGTCTTACTTCCATATGCCTTCCAGGATTTTGTTCAGAATTTTTCTGGATGATAGTATTGTAAAAAATGTAGGTAGTAGGGTAACAAACATATCCCAACAGATCAGTAAACTGAAGAGGGTAATGGGTCTGCCACCTCATACTGGCAAGAGAGGTGTAGAATAGCCCCCCACTAGATGGAGTGATGACTTGGTAAGACATGCAGGAAGTTGATGGAGTTGAGGACCATGCTTTATGGTATTATTTGGGTGAGGTCTTTATCCAGCAGTAGACTTGTGAAATTCTGTAATGATGATGATGATAATAAAGTTTGTTAAGCTACAGGCACATTTTATACAATTTTTTTAAAAATGTTCACATACAGAGAAAAGAAAGATAAAATGTAAGTCTAATATATTTTGTAATAATAATGTTCGGTGTATATATATTAAGCAACTACTGTATCTGGAAACAGGAAGTCTAAAAAAATGGATGATTTTTGTGAGAAATTTTCGTTTTTCAGGAACAATTATTTTTATGCCTTCTACATTCACCAAGTCTGACAACTAAGATATAGCAAGCAGCAACTTCTATCACTAGTCTCAGATAAGTATTCTAATTACTACAATGCTATAATGATATCTAGTTAAGCAGAGATAATAGAGATAAAAAGTGTCACAGTGTCTTAGCAATATGTTACGACGCTTAGAACTGTGGGTTCGAATCTCACATGAAATAAGTATTTGTAAGGCCTACAAATAATTGTTCTGGGTCTTGATGTTTGTCCTTGTGCAGAAGATGATCTAACAAACAACCTGTAAGATGTTTTTAACGGGTGGATTACAAGAAATTGCTACTTTCACCACGGCTTAGTAATCAGAGTATATGGCTGATACTCATTTTTTATTCTTATGTTGAGATTATTATATATATATATATAAAGTAAAAGTAAAGTAAAGTTGCACCCTACTTACGTCCCACTGCTGGGCACTGGCCTTCTCTCATTTCTGAGAGGGTTTTAGGGCAAGGAGTTGTCCACCGTGCTGCTCTAATGCGTGTTGGCGAACTTCACGTCTTTGAATTATTTTTTTTCTTATTTCTCAGACATGCACGTTTCCTCACGATGTTTTCCTTCACCGCCGAGCATGTCGTGAATCAGCACTTAAAATTGCCACTAACAATTTCATTGGTGCCAGCGGGATCGAACCTGGGTTGCTCGAGTACTGTGAAGCTTACAGCGAGCGCTAACCATCTGAGCTACCACGGCTACATATATATATATATATATATATATATATATATATATATATTTCTTTCTTTCTTTCAGAAAGAAGATGTAGTGACAAAAATTGAGAAAGGTATGCTGAGATGGTTTGGCCATGTCGAGAGAATGAATGAAGAACGATTGACGAAAAAAGTGTATAAGGCGAGTGTGAATGAAAGTGTTGGAAGGGGTAGACCTAGGCGGACATTTCTAGACCAAATCAGGGACGTCTTGAAAAAAGGCCAGGTCAAGAGTACCCTAAGCCGTAGAGCATGTATGAAGGGAATAATGAAAGTGGACAAAGCAAAACAAGTATGCAAGGATCGTAGCAAGTGGAAAGAACTGGTCTCTGCCTACCCCCACGGGAAAGAAGCGTGATTGTATGTATGTATGTATATATTTCTTAGTAACAACCTCACTTTGTAAAACTTTCATAGAACAGTAAACAGTTAAATGTAAGTATAAGTGTTATCAAAATAAATGAAGTATGTTACCAACAGAAACACTGCCCATCTCAATTTGATACTGAGCAGGCTCTTTGCAACATTTCTTTAGTTATACTAAAATAATTACCTCAATAGACAGAATAATGACCCCTATAGACTCAGAATGACTTGGGCTAATTGCCTGTGCAATACTTTATACTGTTGGAACAAGAGGGGAATTACAGAGTTGTTACTTTCATTTATAATATTTATCAGTTTTCTACCTTCACTCAAAATATTAACCACTCGTCAGAGGTTGGCGTTCAAGCTAGACTCTATTAAACAATTATTGCACATATAGAACTTAGACAAATATTTTAGAAACCATGATGAAATTTGTGTGGTTTGAAAGTTGAAATTTTTATCCATATTTTTACACAAAGAAAATAAAAGAATTACCAATATATTCTTTTTCATAAGCAATAATGTCTTCTTCAGTAATTTTCTTAAATAAAAGTCTCCAATATGCTGACCAATCACGATCAGTAATTGAGTTTTCTTCTTCATCTACACATTTAGTTTCATCATACAATGCTCTTTTGTCTTTATCACTGAGAATAGTATGTACTGCACCCAAAACTTTGAATTTTTCAGTAGCTTCAATTTTTTTCTCTTCATTGACTCTATCAGGATGCACTTTGAGTGACAATTTGTGATAAGCTTTTTTTACTGAAAATAGGTATTTTTATAGTATAAATTATTTGTCTTTTAAATTTTTTAACTTTTAAACAAACATAAAATCATTTTTATGAAAGTACAGTACCTTCTTTTTCCGTAGCATTTTCACTAATTTGCAAAACTTCGTAAAGATTGACTGTGTTAAAATACTTTTCACATAATTGTAGTAGCCCCATTTTTAATTTCAGACTTGCCTTTATTTATAATATCAAATCTCTGGTGAGAAACAAACAATAAAGTATAAAAAAAACACGTCAATATAATTTTATTTAGCTTGTAATCTTCGTAATCAAAGTCAATAAGTACCCATACCCACTACACCAGTATTATTGAAAATTAAATTTAATTAAAAATTTGATTTGATGAATTCAGTAATTTATTAATAAATATAGGGAATTTACACTGGGTTCGGGGGTATTAAAATGTCAGTTGTCAGATCAGAATTTGATCACTCAGATCAGTTGCCGCCAAAATAGTGAAGTGACTGAATAGATTAGAATGGAGTGATTCAAGCTCGAGTAATTAAAAAAATCGTACTCGTGTGAAAGAGTTCAACTGAACTCGAGTCGCGACAAGTTATCAAGTCAACTCGCCACCAGTAATATTAATTAAAAAATATTTTGTACAAAGGCACTGCTTATTTCATATTGAAATTTCTTCCAGCAGGCCTGATACTGGACAAATTAAAAGAGAAGCTGATCAAGTGTGCACTCTCATAATAAAATTTTATAATATTTAACTTAACATAAAGTAAAGATAATAAAAACATATATCCATGTAAACATACATATAACTAAATATCACTATAAATACACACACACACACACGCACGCACACACACACACACACACACACACACACACACACACACATATATATATATATATATATATATATATATATATATATATATATATATATATATAACATATATAAATATACTTTTCTTCTATCTGTTCTTACTCACATTTTTAATTTCTCTTTATCTTCTTGTAGTTTTCCGTCGTCATGGAAATTAGCTCACATTATCCCTATCCCTAAGATATCTAATCCTTCATCTCCCTCTCACTTTCGTCCTATTTTAATCTTGCCATTTCTTTCTAAAGTTCTTGAACACATTGTCCACAAGCAATTTTCAGCCTTTCTCAACAGTAATAATATTTTATGTCCATATCAATCTGGTTTCCGACCTGGTCACAGTACAACAACTGCCCTTCTTAAAGTTACTGATGATATTCGTTGGAATATGGACCACGGATTTTTAACAGTTCTTGTTCTACTAGATTTCAGCAGTGCGTTTAATTCTGTCGATTTTGATATCCTTATAAGTATCCTTAAGTCGATTAATGTGTCTAGATCTGTTATTCTATGGTTTGACTCCTATCTTCGAGATCGTTCTCAATGTGTTCGTTCAGGTGAAATATACTCCCAATGTTATAATGTAACTGCGGGTGTACATCAAGGTGGAGTCCTATCTCCTCTGCTTTTTGCCGTTTTTATTAATTGTATCACTAAGGTCATATCATCTAATTACCACCTCTATGCTGACGATTTGCAGTTATATCGTAATTTTGTGGCATCTGAAGCTAACTTGGCGATTGAAGCTATGAATGATGACTTAAATAAGATTAGCGAATGGTCAAGATCTTTTGGTCTTATAATAAACCCAAATAAATCCCAAGGCTTGATAACAGGCAAAAGATATGCGCGTGGCTTGCTTGATTTCTCCTCTCTCCAAACTCTACGAATTGATGGTACCACTATTCCCTACTCAGATACTGCCAAGAACCTAGGCGTTATTTTTGACTGCAATCTGACTTGGGGCGCTCATATTACGGATGTAAGTAGGAAAATATTTTATGCCTTTTATTCTCTAAAGCGTCTCCAAAGTTTTCTACCCTTGTCTACTAAGATATCTATAGTCCAGACTCTTATCTTATCAATTTTAGATTATGCTGATGAATGTTATCTGGAGGCTACAGAGGAGCAAATTAATAAACTTGAGCGCTTGCAAAATTTATGTATTCGATACATTTTTGGCTTAAAGAAGTTCGATCACGTTTCTGTTTATCACAAGCAGCTTAAATGGCTCCCAATCCGCCTTCGCCGGAACACTCGTATCCTCTGTCTTCTTTTCAATATTCTACATAATCCTACTATTCCGCTATATCTAAAAAATCGTTTTACTTTTGTTCATTCTCCAGATGTACCATGTAGGTCAAATACTAGAACATTGTTAAGATTTCCGTCTTTCAATACCATGCTCTATTCTCATTCTTTTTCTGTTAACGCAGTACGATTGTGGAATTCACTTCCCTTTAGGATTCGTGATGCTAAATCGGTGTCTATGTTTAAAAGACTTGTTAAAGAGCACTATCACTCACTCCATAATTACTAAATCGTAATGTGTTGGTATGCATATATGTAAGTAACATTAAAAATATATATTGAATTATATATATTTTTTTGTAATATATAATATTTATTTATATATGTATATACGTGTATATATATATATATATATATATATATATATATATATATATATATATATAAGTTTGTATATATTTGTATAGTATATGTATATTTATGCAAGTGCACTCTTTGACTACCTCTATTTCCTTCAACTATCCTTCAATAGGCCTGCTGGAAGAAACATCATGGAATAAGCAGTGCCATTGTACATAATTATGTTTTTACCATTTTTTTATCAAATTATGTGTGTACATAAACTGTTAAATAAATAAATACTAATATATTATATATATAATCATTGGGACGACAAAGAAAAATAGTGCTTTTTGACTCGCCGTTTGAACACGGACACTGTTTGAGCCTCTCGAATTGCAGTAGGAAGAGAATTCCATAACCTAACTGCATGTACTGTAAAAGAGTGAGAATAGGACTTAGTTCTAGAGGAAGGGAAATTTAGGAGGGTTTTTAAATGTGATCTGCAAACTGCATCGGGGGAGTGCGCAAAGTGGAATCGATCACGTAGATAGGGTGGTGATGTTGGATTGTATAGTATGTTAAAGAGGAGGCATAGGATTCGGGTATTCCTGCGAAGTCGGATTGGAAGCCACTTGAGCTGTTTGCGATAGGAGGAGACGTGGTCATACTTTTTTAGTCCGAAAATTATAATAATAATAAATTATAATAAATTTTATTAGAACTCAAATAAATGTTACACTTGTTCCGATTGAGCCCTAACTCCTGAACTAGGAATCCTGTATGTCAGGAGCTAGTCCCTTCCATTACATTATGCACAAACATTATTAACGTTAATTATACATTTCAATTTAATTTAATTATACCTAATTATATTTAATTATATTCTACTTTATTTTATTTAAAATTGACAAGAACAGTTTACATAAATTATTAAATTCAATTAAAGATAAACATTAAAAAAAAACCAAATATAAAAAAAAAACAAAAAAAGGATAATAATATGTGGTATTGACTAAGTAATATGACAAATGTGTGGATGCATGTATGTGTTTTGTGTATGTTATAATTTGTGAAGTAGTGTCGTTAACGCGTGAAAGTGTCTGTAAGAGCTAATATATATATATATATATATATATATATATATATATGTTTAATCAATTCTTAAGTATTTACGTTCAATAGATTTTCGCAGCTGTCATAATCGTGTTCATTCAGCCACGACAAAAGTAAATCTTTTATTTGTTTGTTGTTAAGTTTCCTTAGTTTTATTATTTTGTTTAACTTATTATATAAGTGTGGGGCCTGAAAATCATAAAATTTCCTAGCATACGGCGTTCTAAAGTTGGGAATGGGATAGTTATCAACCCTCTTTTCTGTTGTTGGAAAAGTTGGCGCAGTAACACAATGATATCTCATTATGCTGTGAAAAACATAGGTCTTACGTATACTTAATACTTTAAACTTTTTATATACTGATGTGGTAGGATACTTGTAGGGCAAACACATGATAACTTTTAACAAACTTCTCTGTGCGCGTTCCAATTCAATCATATGTCTTTTATGTGTCCCTCCCCAAGTACAAACACAGTAAGAAATTAAGCTATGACAAAGCGAATTATAAATTTGTAACATTAGGTCTTTGTTAGCAATCACGCGTAATTTTTTAAAAAGAAAAATAAGTTTCCTAACTCTCTTGGCTACATTTTGAATATGAAACTTCCAGCTTAGTGTGTCATCAACATGAACGCCTAAATATTTTAAAGTGTTCGTTCTTTCTAATACAGCACATTTACAGTCGCGAATCTCCTTAGCGTTTCTATTACACGGGTAAGTGTGAATTTTTATGCTATAATCGTTTTGTGGAGCAGAAATTCTTTGTTTTGAAAAACAGATGTATTTTGTTTTAGACACATTTATCGTAAGCAGATTGTTCTCAAGCCAAGTCGTCACTGCTGATAATCCACATTCCGCTCGTTCCTTCACTATTTTCCAGTTGGAACCTTGATAAAGTAATATTGTATCATCAGCATACATTTGCACCTCACCACCACAAACATTTAATTCACACAACGGGTTGATGTAAGCCAGGAACAGGCTTGGACCAAGTGTACTACCCTGTGGAATACCGTAGGTACATTCCGCACTGCTACTGATGTAGTTACCGACCCGGACCATTTGGCTCCTATCAGATAGGTAATCTCTAAACCACGCCAATGGAAGACCCCTTACACCAAGATTCTCTAGTCTTGATAGAAGCAAGGGTATCGATACGGTGTCAAACGCTTTTTTTAAATCGAGGAAAATACCTAGACATTTGCTACCTTTATCCAAGTAAGAAAGTACTTTCGATGCCAACCTAAGTGTGGCATCCGCCGTAGAACGTCCAGACCTAAAACCCAATTGTTTATCTGACAGTAACTTATTACGTTCCAAAAATCCTATTAATCTTTTGTTTACTATCTTCTCTAAAATTTTTGATAATGTTGATAACAGAGAAATAGGTCTGTAATTAGATGGAACTAGCACGTCACCCGCTTTATAAACTGGAATTACAATGGCTTTTTTAAATAATGATGGAAATACACCATTTTCAAAGCTAAGATTATACAGATGTGCTAATGGCTCACAAAGTACGTTCATATTATTTTTAACCAATTTTGTACTAACTCTATCCCAACCAGGTGCACTATTATTTTTAAGAGTAGTAATCGTTGATTTTACTTCC